TTTGCTCCTAATTGACCTGCCTTGTTGAATAAAGGTCAGTTCCCCACAAAATCCTTCCCTGTTCCATTTTTTTCTTTCTCCTTTCTACCTCTAGCATGTCTCCTCTGCGTCTTCCCTTCCTCTCATCTGTCCTTCCCTGCACGTCTTTCATGACTGCAACATCAGTCCATCTATGCATCAGCTCTCCACAGTGATGAAACTACAGTTGATTTTTCTCCTTTCTCGAAAATTCATTGAATTTTACTGTGAGTTCTGTTTTTCTGCTCTGTCTTTCATCCATATCGACACATCAATCAATTTGATTCCTCTGGAATTTACTCTTTTCTTCAGCTTCATCATTAAACTGAAACTAATCTAGCAATGACAGAATGAGAGGTATTTTACATGGCACCAAAAATAGAAGGCTTTATTGTTCAAAATTTGTTAGAAAAAAGTCCTTGGAACTCTTTTCTAAGTGATGACACATTATGAGGAATCATGACCAGTGAAGAGTCAGGCCTAAGCCACTCAGTACTCATAAATGTATGATGTATCATATGTTTTTATTCATAAAGACGGCCCCAGATTATGTTACTGTGTAAAAACCCAAAGTAAAACTGGATTTACTAATTCCATGCTTGTGACTAATCTGAGCACCTTCCTCCGTCCTTCACATCAAACCATCTTCATTCTCTTCTTTGACCCTTAGGTGCAATAAACTGTAAACACGGCAAACAACCTAGCATCTTCAGCTCTTGAAGAAGTAGGGTAGTTGACTCTCACTTTTTAATTGTCACATACCATTTACCATCAGTCTGACAACTTTGCTGCACTCAATTTGCAAGGAGAAGAGAGCCCACCAAATATATATATGTATAAAAAGTTGTAGCCACCTGAGTGATAGGACAGCAGTGTACTGTACATACAGTATGAAGGTACTGTTCAAAATCACAGCAAGTTTACTCAGCAGTTTTCCCAAACTTTCTAAACCGGGTCTGAAACCAGCCAGAGGGATCATTAAGCACCACTTTCACATCCTGTTTATACACTGGAAATCAGCATCAAACAAGTGCACAGATGTTTCTGCCTGTCCTGAATGCCTGCCTTGTATATGAGTTTGTGGATCCAGTCTGTCTTCACTTAAACCAGTCTGTCATGGTGTCTAAAGGAACCGTATCACAGTTCATAAAACATGCTCATTGGCTATCTTGCCGAGGGTTAGATTAGATATTTAACATGTCTGTGCAGATCCTCAGTCATCCAGGTCATAGTAAACTGAAAAAACGTAGAAAAAATCAACTGGACTTAGATTTCTAGCTTGAAGACGTTTCACCTCTCATCCAAGAGGCTTCATCAGTTCTGACTGACTGGTGTTGAGCCGGAGATATTTATCCCCCTCTGTGGTGTTTCAGTCCTTTGAAGGAATAATTTTAGACTATTATATTTATATTTGGCATCTGAGCATTTCTTAAAAAAATGACCTTTAGTCAGGTACTCTTTGTGTTGCAGTATTTGGTTTGATTTGAAAGCTGTTTCTCTTCTCTTCACTCGCCGTTCATCATTCAGAAGTGTTATTATCACTCGGTGGCTCAGCGTTGTCAGGGTGACAGCAATTACGGAAAAAATTAACTCTCTCTCAAACTCAATAGCACTCAAATCAAAAGACACATTGAGCTCAGTGCATTCATGATGCATGTGAGATGATGTAGAGCTTTGTTCTTTGGCTACTCCACAGAGATTTTCCATCTTTTCTGCACATTTGGCTTTTTGATGTTGGTATGGAAGATTTTAAATATTAATGTTAGCAGCGGTTAAAGTGCTTATTCTGTCCTCTACCTAGATCCGCTCACTGATCACTGACCTTGCTGGGAATAAGTTGCTGATACTGAGCGGCCAGAGCTCTGAGCAGGGAGGTGACATCCAACTGCAAGGTGGAGCCTTCACCTGGCAACACTTCTCTGACATCATATCTGACCCGCAAGTAAGTCCAGTGCATTTTGTCTCCAAACACTTTGTTATGGTGCCTGTGTGTGGATCCACTTGGGATTATAAAGGCACAGCTATTCTTATTTTTTTTCTTCTTACTTTTTTCTCAGGTGACTGAAGTCCTGTCCAGGGCGTCTTCAGAGCAGCACTCCAGGCTTACTGTTTCCTGTCAGGGAGACGGAGGCTGGAGCTCCCTGGGCCAAAGCCAGGAGCAACAGCCACTCCAAAATCTTCTGGAATACTGCCTGAACCCAGAACCCCACCTTCCCGACATGGATGGAGTCACAGAGTTCACCGAGTATGTGTCGGAGACTGTGGATGTGCCATCACCCTTTGACCTTCTGGAGCCCCCGAACTCTGGAGGGTTTCTGAAGCTGTCCAAACCCTGCTGTTACATCTTTCCTGGAGGCAGGGGAGACTCTGCCTTGTTTGCTGTCAATGGATTCAACATCCTGGTGGATGGAGGGTCTGAGCGGAAGTCCTGCTTCTGGAAGCTGGTTCGCCACCTGGATCGGATCGACTCTGTTCTGCTCACCCACATTGGGGCAGACAATCTTCCGGGCATCAATGGGTTGTTCCAGAGAAAGATTGCCGAGCAGGAGGAGGAGCGGAACCAAGGAACTGGCTCCAGCAGCAGTGGTGAATGGATGAAGAACCTGATTTCTCCCGAGCTTGGGATTGTGTTTCTCAATGTCCCAGAGAAGCTTCTGATGCCTGAGTCCACATTGAAGGTGAAGCGAAGCATTGAGGAAGCATCTCTGACACTGCAGTACCTCAACAAGCTTGGTATCAGGCCAGAGCCACTTCACAGGGTCGTCAGCAACACTATAGAGCCTATCACACTGTTCCACAAACTTGGTGTGGGAAAACTAGACATGTATGTTTTAAACCCTGTAAAAGAAAGCAAAGAGATGCAGTTTCTAATGCAGAAGTGGGCTGGAAACAGCAAAGCCAAGACAGGCATTATGATGCCCAATGGAAAAGAAGGAGAAATATCTGTCCCCTATTTGACATCAGTCACTGCTCTCATTGTTTGGATTCCTCACCGTACTACAGAAAAGATAGTCAGGGTGCTGTTCCCAGGAAATGCACCGCAGAATAAAATCTTTGAGGGGCTGGAGAAACTAAAACACCTGGACTTCCTGCGATATCCAGTGGCAACACAAAAAGACATATTGTCTGGGGCACCACCTCCCATCATCAAACAGACCAAAATAAGATCAAGAACTGAGAGCAAAGAGAGTCTCAAATCTTCACCCAAACCGCACCCTAAAACAGCAAAGAAAGAAGGCAGTGGGCAGGAGGAAGAGTCAAAGAGTGAAGAGAATAGAGTAGAAAAGAAAGAAGAGAAAAAAGTCAAAAGTGAAAGTCTAAAAGCCACCAAACAGCAGAAAAACAGTGAGGTGGCCCCTGTGGCACAGAAGAAGAGCATGTTGACTGGTTGGCCAAACTCCCATGATACTCCGCCACCCTGAAGAGGGTATAGAGCTGGTCCAGTGTTCCACGGCCAGGATGAAAACCGCATTGTTCCTCCTGAATCCGAGGTTCGACTATCGGTCGAATTCTCCTCTCCAGTACCTTGGCATAGACTTTCCCGGGGAGGCTGAGGAGTGTGATCCCCCTATAGTTGGAACACACCCTCCGGTCCCCCTTCTTGAAAAGAGGGACCACCACCCCGGTCTGC